TTTTGCTTCTAATCAAAGAAATCTTAACATATCCCATGCTCGATCGAGTGCTGAAGCGGTTCACGTACGTCTTGCCTTCGTGAAAATTAAATAATCACTCCAATAGCTATTAATTCACCATTAATTAAACCAATATTGAAGATGTCAATTTTAAATAAAATAATGATCTTATATATATAGTTTATTTATATTCATTCAATCAGAGGAGAATAAGCTTCAAATATGAAAATATAATTATAATTTGTTCAAGTCATATACATATCATTCTTTATTATCTTATACTATATAAAAAAAGCATTCATTTTTAAGACCCACCATTTATAAATCATATCAAATCAATGTATAATGCAAACAATTTATCAACATTTATATTAATTACTTTGGTGCATTTTTATGTGAAATTAAATTAATGAAATTTATATAAAATTGTATATAAAAACTCATCCCCTATTTTGTTTTTATTTAGATGTTTAAGAAGTACACTAAGCTGAACCCTAATACAATTTTTTATTTTCTTTTCATAGTTAATTTGAAGAAGAATTCATTATAAAATACTTACTGTTTAAGAAATAATGCAAAATGTATTACTATGGGTAGAAATAATAAAAATTAAAAAGAATTTGCCAAAAAACAAGTTAATAGAGAGTTGAATGAAGTGAATTGAAAGAGAAGGTAATCACGTAAAATAAAAGATTAAAAGTGAAAATAAATTATTACAAAAAAAAAACTCTTAGTCCTGTGGATTTAATAACATCATTTAAGAAAAATAAAGAATTAAAAAAATAGAAAATAAATTCAACCTTAAATAAATCAAAATGATTTTGATAAGGAAATATAAAATAAGAAAGTAAGTCATAAACAATAAAAGAAGAAGAATTGCAAGAATTGGGCATGACTGATTTCACTAGAAGTTATCAAAGAGTGGATAGTTGAACAAAGTGAATCGGAGAGAAAGTGGTCAGTGAAAAAAGAAGGTAAAAAAAAGTTAATATAAATAACTACAAAAAATATTCTTAGACTTATGATATTTTTTTTTATGAGCTAAGGGGAATATAATGGAAAAATGAGTACAAAGCAAATAAAAAAACTACATTCACTTTAATATATTGAAACTTCACTAAAAAAATAAATTATTATGATAAAAATATTAAATAAAATGCACTTTAATAAATAAAAAAAAAACAAAAGAAGAATTACAAGAGTCGAGCATGTAACTAATTTCAGAACAACGTAAACGTACGTAAAATAAATAGGAAGAATTTCCCTTAATTTTTAGAAGTATAATTTAAAGTAATAGTAATAAAAGAAAGAAAAACAAAGAAATTATAAAATATGATTGTGCGCTTTTAAAACAAAGAAAAATGTATTTATATATTATTCACTTAATTTACAGTAGGATACCATGATTTTAATCCATTATAAATTAAAATTTAAAACTACACAGCTTGCTTACTTTGAAAACAACCCAACCTTGAAGGAACTTCCATTCGGAAAAACACAACAGAAACGACCGTGTTACGTAGAACTATTCAGCGATGAATGATTCTGCCACCCACCATGAGAATTTGTGTTCCCCACCTAGCTAGCTAGCTAGGTTGGTGTGTCAGTTGTCATTATAAAACACTCTGTTTCCATTTCCAGCACCTACTCCACACTTGCCTCTTTCTTCCTGTGCTTGTGCCAACATTGAGTGTGTTGTGTATTTTAGTTTTTCAAATTTTAAAAATCTTCTTTAATCTCCATTTTCATAAAATGTTATTTGTTATAGTTTTTTTTATATTTTATTCTTTTATTAGAAGGGAAAGAAAATGAACTAATTAAAAATGTGTCAATAAAGAGTAAAATTTTTATTATTAATAAAGTATTTAAAAATACAAAACTTATTCGTTTTGTAAACACTAAACTTACGATAAGCAAGAAAAGAAACTAATTTTTAATAAAAAAAACTTAAAAAGAACTATTAGCATTGCACTATTCTTTAAAATCAACTTTGTTAATTAATAATCGCACTTTAAATATCATTTGGATAGAGATTAATTATTAACTTCTCTTTAAATTTGTTATTTAAGAAAACAATTAGAGAGTGATTCACACGTAAAACTACTTTTCAAATTAAAATTTAAAGTGTCATTATTATTTACTACTCTCTAAAAATAAAATTCAAATTAGACCTTAATTAGACTTTTTTCTTGCCTCACATTCACTGGCTCTTCTCTGTGTCCCATCATATAGAATTCATCATTATTCTTTTGTGTTACATGCTACCGTTTGTATCATTTTCTTAGTGTGTCCTGCTTCTTGCCCATTAATGTGAACAACAACTTACTATGAAGGTTGACTATTTCAAGTCAATTATATTTATATTTTGTTTTGGTTTTGTGATAATTATATTTAAGTAATTTTTCTAATTTAGAAATTTTTGAATCCTAAGTTAGTAGATTGGTTTTGTGATAATCCTAAATTTTGCACTTGACTGGATAGCTAATATTTCTAGGAATATGCTTTCATCTTTGCTTCCTTCTTTGTTTTTGTTGTTTCCTTGACCAATATAGAGAATCACTCCATTGTCAACAATACATGAAAATATTAATGCTTGACCTTGTGTTTTTTTATTTTTGCATTGATATGCATTGCATAGTTCATTTTTATTTATTTTTTTGCATATTCTTGAAGTTAATTGTTACATAATCCAATTTCTGTTGGAAGAAATATCATTGAATATATGCATAAATGGGTAGATTCATCGTGATAATGTGTAAAATGTGCAATCTAAATATAACCCTATGTTAACCAATTTAGTAACTTACCAGCAAAGAATGGAGCACCATTAACAACATAAAATCATTTAATGTTGCACTGTTAGCACTAATTCATCTAAGAACAATAAAAATTTAGAAATTTAAGCATAAATTATAATAACAATAACCTCTTGTACTTAAATTTGGGAGTATAATTTAGAAGTTTTGCCCTTAACATTATATTTCTCGGCCTTGTTTGTGACATAGTATAGTGTCATGTACGTGTTGCTACTAAACATTGAAGTTGCCCACTAAATCTGATCTTAACGATGCATATTCCCAATTTAGGTTAGTGAATTTAATATTTTCGTTGCTTGTTATATTAGTAGGCTAGTAATGATATATAATAATAGGGTTTATAACTAACATTTCATACTCTTTCTTGCTAAATTTTGAGAACTAGGTCATTATGACTTGTAAACCTTTATTTTGAAGTTGTACAAATAGTGATAATATTAATGATTGATTCAAAGTTACTATTTAATTCGTTAGGTAATATTCACTTATGGTAAAAAATATTAAATGTTAATTGTCATCAAAGGTTTTGATGAGATAAATATTATATGAATTCAGTTTGCATAACTTATTAAACAAGTAAGTATCTAATTCAATATTTAAACATTGCTTTAATTTATTTTGTTAGTGTCATTATTGCTTATCAAGCAAAAAGATAAGTTTAGGTTTCTAAGATGAAAATGCATTAAACTAGATATGTCACTATACAAATATACTTTCCAAATAACCTTTTAAATTGCTAGTTATTATAATATCTATAATATTATTTCATATTTTTATTTTTTCATCCATAAAGTGTCCTAAACAAACAAATAGCAATGACTATAAATATCATCTATATTTTTTTATTGAAGATATTTTACAGCATTGATAAACTACTATCCCAATTAACTTAAGGAATTCCTATCTAAACTTACTTAATAATTTTGTTCTACTTAAATTTTGTCACATTGTTCATTTAACTTGACTTTGTGTATTTGTAATGTGTTTAATATTTTCTAGAGTACCAGTTTTCAACCTTTCCTAATAATAGAGTTCAACAAGTTAAAAAGGAGTGATTTGCGTAACTCTATCATAAATGTTTTAAAAACAAATTAAGTATAATATATTTTTAGTAATTTTTTCATTATTCATTGTGGTTTATCAATGTAATTATATTAATTTTTTTCTTCTTTTGTATTGTTCTAAAATTTTGAGATATTGAGTTATTGTCAATTTAATTTAATTATTGATTGTCAAACATAAGTTGCTTTATCAAGTATATTTGGGATATTAAAATATTCCTACCTGTATTTAATTTCAATTTTTAAAATTTAGGATTTAAAATTATTAAATAAATTACCAAATTTTTTCATAATTTTAGAACATTTAAAAGAACTATTGTCAAAACTTTCTAAACTGCTCTAAAAAATATAAAGTTTCGAGAGCAATCAAGAGTTGAATGACTCTTCAAACTATATTTTTGTGAGTAGTTATTTAATCTCTCTCTAAAATTTGACATACTTAGTGAGATATTAGATCAATTCGGAATACTTTTAATTAGATGTGAAACGATTCTTTCATTTCTTTTTATTTAGCTTAGTGTTAACTAAAAAAATTAGTATAAAGTTTATCTTTTTTCAACTTTGATAAATAAAAATATCTTTGTTTCAATGAAAGAAACTTTGAATTTTTCTAATAACACTACCATGTTATTTCAAATTAAGTCATTTAGCATAGAAAAATTACAAAAATATTATCACAATTTCTAATATAATTATTGAAGCCATAAAATAATTTATCATAAAAGTTTCAAATAAACTTACCAAAATCACTGTATATGAGGATTACTTTCAATATTTTCAATAATGTTAAAGCACAAGGAGGTTAATAGCACACAATTAAGAACAAAAAGCAATAAATATTAAATTTCTTACGAGGTTTGCTATAAAAACAGTTTTTTATTTTATTTTTAATATTATTTTTCATTTAAAAAGATTTTTAAAAATATATCATTTTCCTATGTCAAAGATCAATAAAAAAAATTAAAATCTGAAAAATTAAAATACTAGATCCATACAAATTCAATGTCTAGTTTAAAAATTTACTCATTCTTTCACTCTATATATATATATATATATATATATATATATATATATATATATATACACGGTGTGACATGACCTTCCTCCTCCACCACTAACCACCATGTTTACTAAATTCCTCATCTTCTTTCTCCTTTGCAATCCCTTTGTTTCTTTGATCACAGCACATGAATACCCTGATGATGATTTCGTGCGTCCATTGGACAGAAAACTGTTGGGTTTGGATCAAAAGCAAGAAAAGCTGAGCCATTTCAAGTTCTATTGGCATGACATAGTGAGTGGACGCAACCCTTCTTCAGTTGAAGTTGTTCCTCCACCCTTGAAGAACTCAACCACAGCTTTTGGTTTGGTGAACATGATTGAGAACCCTTTGACTTTGGGACCCCAATTGAGTTCCAAATTGGTGGGAAAAGCACAAGGGTTCTATGCTTCCACATCGCAGAGTGAAGTGGACTTGATCATGGCTATGAATTTTGCAATAACTGAAGGGAAGTACAATGGTAGCACCATCACAATTTTGGGGAGGAACCCTGTTTTCAACAAGGTGAGGGAGATGCCTGTGATTGGTGGTAGTGGACTTTTTCGATTTGCTAGGGGATATGCTCAACTTAGAACTCACTGGTTCTCACCTAAGACTAAAGATGCTATTGTTGAGTACAATATTTATGTTTTTCATTATTGATATATGTATGAGATTTTCATTTTGCTTAATTTTATTTTGTATATTTGTTTCTTGTTTTCCTCTTTTGAGGTTTCACTCACTTATCATGTTTTCTCTTTTTCCTCATGAAACAAGAGATGGAGTTATTGGGTTTCTCCTCCTCGACCCATCTCTATCTCTCTTACATACTATGTATTTGTAATTTTGTGCTTCATATGAGAATTAAAATGATAACAATTTATGGTCACTGCACTGTATTGCCATTGGAAATATTCTCACAGAAAGTTTAAAATAAATTGTTGAAGCAATCACACATTATCATTGGTTTAATGAAACAGAGAGAAGAAAGAAAAAAGATATAAAAATGAAATATTTTTACCATTTAGATGTTGATATAAATAAGAAATATAAAATGAAAAAATATTTATTAATTGAAAGATGTTTAGGTAAAGTAGAACAAAAAAAAGGAGTCATGAACATAATTAAACTTAAATTCATGAAGTGTTAACTAATTTTTGTCCTTTTAAATTTTATGAAAATATAAAAATATATATACAATGAGAGAGATTACATTAAAAATTGTTTAATTTTGTACCCCTCTTGTGTTTTGAATCCGAAGTTAAGGATATCCTAAACCAAAACCACGAAATGTCACAGTTCATGAAATGCAGGGCTCAGTCAGTTCAAGCCTTTGATGTTTTAGGTCATATAGGTGTTTGAACATCTTTGTAAGCTATAGTGCTCGTAAAGATTCTAATGAAAGAAAATTCATTTTAATTGGAGAGTAGATTTATCCTTGAAAGCTAAGGATATTAACCTAATCATTGGTCTTGTGGTTGTTGGATGAAAATTGATCCTTGGGTTATCAAAATTAACCCTTTTCACCCTTTGTTGGCAGCTTGTGTGGTTGCTTTCTATGTAATTAATTAACCATAGTCATTATATCAGTCTCAAATCAAAATTAGTTATTATTGCAGAATTTGAAACATTATTTTTAACTCTTGCCAGCAAGATGAGGCTAGAAGTTTCCCATGATTAAAGTTAACTACTTAAGTGTAAATGTGATATGGGTTAAGGTTAAAAAACCATTATTTCTCTATCATACCAAACAACTATAGATAAATAATTTTTTATCCTTTCAAGCTTTCACCTTTCTATAAAAAAAAAGGACAAATTTTGTTATTATATATCTTATTATTGAATAGAAAAAAAAAAGGTAATCACCACTTTCTCTATGTTTAAACTATCTAATGCGATTATGTATATAGCATACTTCCCATGAGAATGAAAAATTTACTAAAAAATATTATTTAAATTTAATTTATGAGATTAAATATCTGTATTACAAGAGAGTAAAAAGCTAATATGAATAGGTCGAGTATTTAATTTACACAATAGACATTTATCTAATCATGAAAATTCATTAATATATAAATTACAAGAATAAATATTTACTTTACACGAGAATGAAAATTTTACATAAAATTATATTATCAAAATTACAAGTTAGACATTTAAATTATAAATAGTTTAATTTTAATACACTGTCAATTAATTAAAAATACAATCAATATAAATTTTAAATCAATTATTGATAAAGACTATGATTTTTTTAATCACATAGCATGATAGTGTAAACAACACTATCATATATTTTAATTTAATTTAATTATAAATATATTCAAAATTTTTATAAATATTTTTTTTGATATCTTATTTGATAGACTTAATTTTAAATTTTTTATTCATATTTTCATTCAGATACACTGACAAATAAAATTTGATTTAGAGGCAATTGCAATATTTTAATAATATATATTAAAATTTATCAAAAACACGCACAAGTGACAGTTTGGCCGAGTGGTCTAAGGCGCCAGATTTAGGCTCTGGTCCGAAAGGGCGTGGGTTCAAATCCCACAGCTGTCATTTTCTTTTACACTTTAAGAAAGTGAAAATCAATTCTGCGAGAAGTTTGTTTAAAGCAACTTGTTCTTTAATTTTAAAATTATTATAATTTGTGGATGAGATTAAATTTCTTAAACATAAATTCACTTTGATTTTAACTTAATATTAACTAAAACTCATTTTGTCAAATGTAAATAATCTAAAATCGTGTTAAGAACTAAAATAAGTCTATCAATCACAATAAATAAATTAAATTAGATTGAAAGTGGTATAGAAGCAAAATAACTAGCTAACTTTGTTTTAAATCAATGGCATTACTTTGATCCTAAGTAACTTTTGAAAAAAAAAATGTTACTTATGATAAATTAATAAATTATAATTAATTTTTAATACTTTAACTTTAATTTTTAAGAACATTATAGTATTTATCTTGACTTCGTCTACTTGTTGTCTTACTCTTTCTAGTTCTTTTTAATTTTCTTATTTCTTCTTCAATGGTTGCGATAAAATGGCAGGGGTGGAGGTCAACGGGATGACTTGCATAGATTGCTATCAAGTGAGGTTGATAAGATGATTTTGCTACAATGGTGAGTGATTATGGTGTGTGTGTGTGTGGACATCAATTAGTGATTGGTTTTAATAATATGAGATTTCAGGGAATGTGAAACATGATTGGTGGTAATTTGTGATGGGTAAGGACTATGGTAAATTGTTGTGAAGCTGGTTTAACAATGGTGGAAATTTTGTGAGATGTGCATAATTTTAGGTTTAGGTGGCGATCACCTAGATGATAGGTTTGGTGTGTAATTTGATAGTTCATTTGTAATTTTGAGTTGGTTTTGAGGGATGAAATAGTGGCTTAAGTGCCAGTGACTACACAATTGACGTGGATTGATGTAAATGGTAATAGTGGTGATGACTCAAGTAAATTAAAAAGTATAGTGAGTAATGTTCTATGATATTGACTTATGATGCAATATGGTATCTTAATTAATTCAAAAGAAATGAAGAAGGAAAAAGAAGAAGAAAAACAATGACGAGTAATTAATATTTAATAAAAAAATCCTATCTATTAAATCATGAAAACATAATTCACTTTAAGTTTTGCATGGTTTATTGGTGCTACGAACAAATACATAAAAAGAATCTCAGGTTTCATTTATATTTTTTCTTAGTTTTTTCAACGCCAGCAACGATGTTTCACTTTGTGGTGATTTCTTAACGAATTAATTGTCTTTCAAATACATAGTTCCTCAGATAAAAGCAAAGTTAGAAGATGAAAGGTTTAAACTTTCTGTATCAATTGCTTAACCTTATATTGTCAGAAGATAAATAATTTTAAGCTGAGTAGGATTACTTGTATTGTTAACATCACTTAAGTGGATCTGGCATTTAGAAGAATAAAGTATAATTTTACATATATATAAAAAATGAGGTAAAGTGTCCTAGTAAAAAACTAAAAAGTGATTGTTCTAATTTTCTTTTTATATGTAATAAAAACATCTATCTATCAGAATTATAAAAGCATAATTAATATTTAAATAAATAATAAATAGATTCTCAAATTTTGATTTTACATTACTCCTTACTTGCGACATGAAAAGTAAGCCACCCCGCTAATTTCTCTGCAACGAACCAAACAAAGGTTAATTCAATTGACCCCGAGGTTGTCCTCTGTGTCATGTCTGTGCAAACAACCTTAACAAACTTGACGGCAAATTTTCACAAGTCCCACTTCCGGATTTTCCTCTCCGTTCAATTTTCTTCTCTCAGACACTGTCATTTCCAAGATGAAAAACACTCACAACAGAGCATTGCCACCATCGTACACTCTCTCTGTGACTCTCACCGTTTTTCCGAAGCCCACCAACGCCTCTCCCTCTTCCTCGCCTCTGGTTCCCTCCCCGACGAGCGGACCTGCAACGTTCTCCTCGCACGCTTGCTCGCTTCTCGAGCTCCTCACACAACCTGGCCTCTCGTTCAGTTCTTGATCGCTTCAAAGCCCGGTTTTGTTCCCTCTTTGATTAATTATCATCGTTTGATGGATCAGTTTTGCGGGGTTCATCGACCCCGCGATGCTCACAGGTTGTTTTTTGACATGAAGAATCGTGGGCATTGCCCCAATGTTGTTTCTTTCACCACTTTGATTAATGGTTATTGCTTAGTTGGTGGAATCAGAGACGCACGCAAGGTGTTTGAAGAAATGGTTGAGAGTGGTGTGGTGCCGAATTCGGTGACTTACAGTGTTTTAATTCGAGGGGTTCTCTGGGAAAGGGATGTGGAAAGTGGGAAGGAACTTATGTGCAAGTTGTGGGAGAGGATGAGTGTGGAAGTGGATCCTGCTGTGAAGACTGCTGCTTTTGCAAATTTGGTTGATTCTTTGTGCAGGGAAGGCTTTTTCAGTGAAGTGTTTAGGATGGCTGAAGAGTTGCCATTTGGGAGTAGCTTTTCTGAGGAGGTTGCTTATGCCCAGATGATGGATTCGCTCTGTAAAGTTGGAAGGTATAATGGGGCTGCGAGGATTGTTTCTGTAATGAGGAAGAGAGGGTTTGTTCCGAGTGAGGTGTCGTATAATTATATCATTCATGGGCTTAGCAGTGATGGTGATTGTATGAGGGCTTATCAGTTGTTAGAGGAAGGGGTTGAATTTGGGTTCATGGTATCTGAGCATACTTATAAGGTACTGGTGGAAGCTCTTTGCCAGGTGTTGGATGTGGACAAGGCAAGGGAAGTTTTAAAACTCATGCTTGGTAAGGAAGGTGTTGATAAGACTAGGATTTACAACATTTTCTTAAGATCTCTTTGTCTTGTGAACAATCCAACTGAGCTTTTAAATGTGCTTGTGTTTATGCTTGAGAGCCAGTGTCAGGCTGATGTGATTACCCTCAACACTGTAATCAATGGTTTTTGCAAGATGGGGAGGATTGATGAAGCTCTGAAGGTATTGAATGACATGTTAATGGGTAAATTTTCTGCACCTGATGTTGTGACCTTCACTACTGTGATTTCTGGTTTGTTGGATGCAGCAAAAGTCAATGAAGCACTTGATCTATTCCATAAAGTGATGCCAGAAAATGGTATAAGACCTAGTGTCGTGACATATAATGCACTTCTTCGAGGCCTATTCAAACTAAGGAGACCAAATGATGCACTCGTGACTTTTGATAATATGGTAAATGATGGCATTGCTGCAGATAACACCACACATGCAGTTATGGTGGAAGGTCTTTGTGAATCTAATCAAATAGATGGGGCAAAGAGTTTTTGGCACAATGTTATATGGCCTTCTGGGGTTCATGATAATTTTGTTTATGCAGCAATTCTGAAAGGGCTTTGCCGCTCTGGCAAATTTAATGAGGCTTGTCATTTTTTGTATGAATTGGTAGATTCTGGGGTCTCTCCAAATATATTTAGTTACAACATTCTGATCAACTGTGCGTGCAATCTTGGTTTGAAAAGAGAAGCTTACCAAGTTGTTAGAGAGATGAAAAAGAATGGTCTGACTCCTGATTCTGTGACATGGAGAATTCTTGACAAGTTACATGGAAAAGTAAGGAAGAACACAGGTTCTGAAAAACCAACCCTGTCAACAGTTTATGAGGGACATGACATAATGAACTAAGTCCAGATGGAAGCATATGGAATTCGGTTTGTACTTTAAAACATAAAATTGTGGTTTGATTCAAAGGCTTCTACAGGATAAACTAGGTCTTTGAAGTTTGAACATCGAAGAGGAGCATTAAAATAGGTGGAGCAATGATAATCCTCTGGAATTAACCATACATTAAACTGGGTTATTATAACATACTTGAGAGCAACAGCATGTTTGGGAGTTGGGTTTTGGAAGGAAAAAGAAGGAAAGAGAGTTTTTTCGTTTGCAATAAATATTCTCTAATTTGATATATATTTTTTAAAATAAAGAAACAAAATGATAAATTAATTATATAACTCTCTTAATATATATAAAAAATAATTGTCTTCAGTTCTCTTTCCATTCAAAACCCCATTTTCAAGCATATCCTAAGTGAATCTGAGAGTAATTTTATTAAATGATTCTGAAGCAACGAAGAGGGCTGAGATACTCTGCTGGAAGGAAAGCAAGCACAGCAGTTTTATACAGAATCAGCAATACATATATACAAAACCAGTTTGCTTACAAAAAGCCCACAACCAAACACCAACAGAGAAGCTATGAGATGAAGTCATCTACACCAAGTTCGATCCACCAACCATTTGTAATAAATTAATAATCTACAAAAAGAAGGCTACAATAAGTTTAAGAGCGTGACAATAATAGAAAAAGGAAAAATATGAGAAAATATCTATTTTAGTCCTTAAAATTATAAATATTAGATCAATTTAATCATTAAGTTTATAAAAATTTCATTTTAGTCTGAATTATTATAAAAATAATATTCATTTTAAGCGACAAGATCTTTTTATATCGATGTGGATTTAAAAAATTTTATACTTAATTTAAACATTTTATTTAACTTACATATAACATGTTATAATTTATTATTTCACTGGCAGCTAGACATAAGTTAAATGGACGATATAAATTGAGTGTAAAAGTTTTTAGATTTACAATTGTGTAAAAAGATCTTTTTATATATATATATATATATATATATATCATTTTATAAAATTAAAAAATAAAGAATATTTTTTTAAGTTAAAATTTATAAGACTTAAATAAAAATTTACTCAAAATATTATCCAATTGGAGCAGATTACGGGTTTTTTGCCTGTGTAGGGTTAAATGAAAGACATTTTATCCGTATGGGGTTGTTTGACGAAAAATTCCCTGTCTAGGGTGATTTGTGAGTGTCGGAAAAAATGTTGGCGACACATGATCAAGTATCGGCTGAAAGAATGCCGACACAGGTGCCAGACCCGACTACTGAGAGCGGTTACTTTCAAACCGCTCTCAAAAGTCCATTTAAGAAAGCGGTTCAATTCGAACCGCTCTCTAAAATGGACTTTTGAGAGCGGTTCGAATTGAACCGCTCTCTTAAATGACTTTTGAGAGCGGTTCCAATTGAACCGCTCTCAAAAGTCATGTGTGTCGTTTAAATTTATGCGACACTTGTGTATCGGCTGAAAGAATGCCGACACTATCTCTCCTCAAACGCATTATATAAAGGCAGACGCCGAGGTGTATTCTGCTGCTGCATTTCGCAATTGTGAAGAGAGGAGTTTTACAATTGTGAGCTGTTCTGCTGGAAGAAAAAGGTTAGAATGTTATTAATTTATTGTTTTAAATTTTTTTATTATTGTAAATAAATTTGAATTAATAATTTTAATATTATTATAAATAAATAAAAATAAAAATATTTGTAGTAATAAATTTAATTTATTTAATGTTAATATAATATTATTAAAAATATAAATGTAAAAATATATTATTTTAATGTTGTGGTAATTATTTTTGTTACTATTTGTTTAGGTAAAATTTTGTAATAATTTTGGTTGTATTTTTTAATTTGATACACATGATGACTAAAATTGTGGTTATTTTATACTGAAATGGAAGAGTGTACGAAGGAAATGAGGGTATCATATTCGAATGGAATAAGAAAATGATTAAAATAGAACGTGAAATTACTTTTGAGATGTTGAAAAAAAAATACATACAAAATTGAGATTGTGCAATAGTAATATAATTTCTAGACTAATTTCACGAATTTTAGTTGATTCAAGGAGTGAAAATTACACAGTTTTAGATGTATGTGATGATGAAGACATTGACTGTATGATAAGTGCTTGTCAAGAACGGCATGAAAGAGTAGTTGAGTTATATGTGGATATTGCGGTTGGTGAAACTTCTCATGTAGGTGAAAGTTTGTTATGTTTAAATGTATCACTCCCAACTGTGTCTGTTAGTGACAATGAAGAAGAATATGCAATTGGAGGAGGTAATGTATAATATTTATTTAAATTATATGATGTTTAAAATTTTATAATTTATTAATAAATATTTGCTGCTGCATCTACAGATGATGAAGATGAGTACGATGATGACTATGAAGATGAAGGAGAAATTCCTTTAGATAGTTCTTCTCATACTGATTTGGAAGATGGCTTCGATTCAATGATGACAGTTCCAAACACTGAAAGAAATAACATTATGCAAGGACAATCTGTAGGTACAATTTTATATAATACAATAATTGTAAAATATTTTTAACTAACATTTCTTGAGTTTAATACAGATTCTATAACACCTTTTTGGAACATAAGTTCACACTACACTGCTATTAATTGGGAACATCCTGATCAAGAATTAGATTTTTTGGAGTTGCATTCGTCACAATCATGGGCACAAGGAGATGCATTATATGTTGGACAACTATTTGACTCTAAAGAGAAGGTAAAGATGGCGATAAAACATTATGCAATGAAGAAACATCAAACATTTTTTGTGGTTGAGTCAAAAGCATCAACTCATTTTGTCAAGTGTGTGAATCATATTTCTGGGTGTCCTTGGAAAGTAAGAGCATTGCTACCCAAAAATTCAGATAAGTGGAAAATTACGAGATGAGGTGGTCTGCATACCTGCGTTAATACTATGATTTCTCAAGACCACAAAAAGTTAGATTCAAATTTTATTTGTTCATGCATTATTGGTACGTGAAACTCAATTGAGATTATATTTATTTGTCTATTTAAAATGATTTGGATATGATCATTAGTTGAGATTTATTGTTTAATTTTATTGACAGGTATGGTCAAAGAAGAACCTTCTGTTCCCGTTTCATTAATCCAAGAGAGAATAAGTGGCCAATTTGGGTATTCAGTTTCATACAAAAAAGCATGGAAAGCAAAGCAAAAAGCAATTGTGACAATATTTGGTGATTGGGATGAATCTTATGCAACATTACCAAGATGGTTAGAATACATGCAATTACATGCTCCAGGGTCAGTTTACAAAATTGAGACCAATGATTATGTGAGAGGTAATGTAATGGATAATAGAGTCAGAGTCTTTCATCGAGTATTTTGGTCGTTTAGGCAATGTCGTGAAGCCTTCAAGTTTTGCAAGCCTATAATACAGGTAGACGGTACCTTTTTGTATGGTAAGTATAAGCAAACATTGCTTATTGCTACAACTCAAGATGGCAATAACAGTGTGCTTCCTATAGCATTTGCCATTGTTGAAGGAGAAACATTATCAGCATGGGAATGGTTCTTAGCCATGATCCGTCTAAATGTTACTGATAAAACTGGAATTTGTTTAATATCTGATCGCCATCAAAGTATTAAAAGTGTTGTGTCTAATCCACATATTGGGTGGCAACCTCCTAATGCTTACCATGTTTATTGCATTCGTCACATTGCAAGCAATTTCAATAGAAGATTCAAAAATTCCGCAATGAAGAGTAAGCTTATGAAATTAAGTAAGTATGTTATCACTATTACATTTTACATTATCTATGAATATATATTTATTTTTCACCATTAACTGTATAACTTATTTAAATGTAGCGTATACACCTTGCAAGCAAAGATTTGAAGCTGGTCTTAATAAATTTCGTTCGCATTCTCCTGAAGTTCAAACATGGATTGACAACATATCAAAGAAAAAGTGGAGCTTGGCTTATGATCATGAAGGGCGGCGTTATGATCACATGACGACTAATTTGTCTGAGTCAGTGAATAAAGTTTTAAAAGGGGCAAGAAATCTTCCAATTACTGCCCTTGTGAAAGCAACCTATAGTAGATTGGTCGAATATTTTGTCAAATGGGGTGAAAGCGCAATCAATGACATGAACAATGGTAAAAGGTATTGTCGTAAATTAATTGAAGCTATAGAAAAAAATCAACAAGAAGCATCTTCACATCAGGTTCGTCGTTACGACATACAAAGTACAAGGTTCGAGATTGAAGAGGCTTTTAATCCAATGACACAAAGGGGGGGTCATAAGTGGAGTGTGATATTATCTACACGTGAATGTGAATGTGGCAAATTTCAGGCATATCGATACCCTTGTTCACATGTCATAGCCGCTTGTGTTACTGTAAGTATAGACTTTTGGCAGTATGTTGATCCTGTATATACTCTGCAGTATGTTGTGAACGCATACTCATCTCAGTGGTGGCCGCTTGGAAATGAAGCAAACATTTTACAAAATGATGAATGGAAGTTGTTGCCTGATCAAGATAGAGCACGAGGTAAAGGAAGACCAAAGGCTTGTAGAATTAGAAATGAAATGGATTGGGTTGAGTCACAACCGCGACAACGATGTCGGTTATGTCGACAACTAGGTCATAATCAACGTCATTGTACTCAACAAAGCAATGCTAACATTAATCATGACTAGTACCGTATGATTGTAAAAAGTGTGGTAGATTTTATTAATGTATGTTGTCTTATTGTGGTATGTTGTGTCATTAATGTATGTTGTTTGATTAATCTTGTTTGATGTCGAATGTGTAGAATGTGGCAAATTATAAATGAGTCGTGCATTTAAACAAAAGCAAACATTAATTAACATCATCTAAAGTTTTCAAATACAGTATCATAACATAGTCTCAATCAGAATTCAATGACTGCTCGTGAGGTCCCTCCTCATGAGGTGTGAGAATGCACTGTCGACGATGATCTCGCGCTCCACGGTGAGGGTTACGTCTCACATCAGCTCCTGCTGCATCTGAGGCTGCAATGAATTCAGCATTAAGATCAATTTCACGGTCATGCCCAGGTACCATTGATGTTGTTTGCTCACTACATCCACTTTGATGAGTGCCTACACCGGTGCACTCGGTGTGAAAAACATAGGCTCATATGGAGGAGGTGTCATGAAAAGGCTAGCGCCAGGAACATAAAATTCACCGCTGAAAAATGGAGATGCAGGAGGGACGTTTAATTGCTGTGATGAGTGAACATAAGATGACTGTGTCCATTGTGATTGTTGAAACAGAAAAGGTGGTGGGACATAATAAACACCATCTCCTCGTTCGGGCAAAGGGGGCAATGTAAAATCTGTGGCCTGCAATTTTAAACACATAAGTATGTTCAAATGAAACATAAAGTGTTATAATTTAAGTAAAATGACCCAATGAAGCATAAGGTAACAATACCTGAAATGACGTTCGCCGACGTTGCAAACCTTTGCCTTCCCGACGTTGTTCACCAATACCAATGTCAATCTAAGGCTCATCTAGATTTCCACTCTGGATAGGAGGATCACATGAGGATGATGGCTCTAAGATATGTTCCTGCTCATTTTGCAAGGCTAACATCGTCTCACACAAATCCTTCATCTCCTCAAATGAAAATGTGTCCCTCCCATCATTACACAAGTAATAGGCCCTCTCATGAGCATCTCCCTGCATAACCATTACATTGAGATTAGATTCTATTAAACAAACAAAATCGTTTACTAGAATGATCTATACGTACAAGTAATGCAAACACTGCAGCATCTATGCTCATCCACCGTCTAGTATGAGTATGGTACCACCGCATGTATTCAGAGTTCGAACTCAGTAGACCAATTTGCGGTTCATTACTCACAACCCAATCTAATCTCCTGTCCCAATGTTCTAGTACGCCCCTAAATTTTGACTCCCAATTGTTAGCAGTCTTCCCTCTAAGAGTAATGTCATGTAGCTGGTCTGGCTGATAAGGAGCATGAGGAATATGTTGTACCATCCCAAATTGACGCATGGTACGATCGGGCTGGTGCCATTCAGATATTTGGAAACAAATAAGCGGCATAATAGCTCTCCATATATGCATGCCCTCAGTGCATATGGCAGGCAAAGTATGCATCAAATCTATACTATATGGTTGCCACACAAACTGCAAGTGTACAAAATATTATTGTAATTATTAATAATATTTTATTGATGATAACATATATCATAAACAAATAACGCATACCTGATCACGTTTCAAATGATCAAATTTGAACCTAAAGTAAGCTAGATCCTTTCTCCCTTTCCTAAAATTTTGAAATCTTAACCACCTATAAAAACATAAATATTACCATGACTATTTGTAATAAAATACTGTTGTGTAAATATTGAATGAAAGTTTTAATATTATAGACATACCGTACACCATAAGGAAGATCATTCTGTGTGTAAGGGGGATCACCCGGAGATAGAAATGGGAACCTATCCCACGCCCACAGCATCACAAGTGGAGTCAATCCTCCAATACCAGACCGATCAATATTCGTGGACATGCATAACTCTCTGTATAGGAAGGCTAACGCTGCACTTCCCCAACTATATTGTCCAGTTATCTCTAAATCTTCAAGTAAAGGAAGGTACCTAACTGGGACCCTGCTACTAGAATGATCAGCTAACATAAACCCACCAATAAGTCTCAAAATATATGCTCTTGCAAAGCGAGTTAGCTGAATGAGATTTTGGTTGTGCAACCCAACATGGGAAAAATGCTCATCCAACCAAGTAAGTTTCAAGCTGCTCCCCATAAATGCAGAATTAGGTGGTCTAATTCCCAATAAATCTTCAACAATTTGTGCCCTGTCACCTCCTGTAGGGGCAATAACTGGTCTTCCATCAATACGAAGACCCATCTGAATAGCAATGTCTTGAAGAGTAATAGCACACTCTCCAGGGGCATGTGAAATGTATGGGTCTCTGGCCTCCATCTTTCTACCAACGCTGTAATCAATTGGCGGTCAATAGGAATACTAGCCAACTGTGCTACTCCAGCAAATCCTACTACTGTCAAATGAGGAATAATCTCTACTGGTACTCCCTCCATGCCAGCATGTATGAAATGACCTCTTCTTACTCTCAATATTGGGTGTTCACGACCATCCCAAATATGCTCTGAAACATGAATAGACTGATAGCGCAGTAATGAACCATCCTCGGGGCCGGGATTTAACACCCTACTACGAGATGAAGATGATGCCATCTAAAATCTATATAAACAAGTAAACTATTAACTTCAAATTTATAATATAAGCAACCAAATTTAATAAAAACAATATCATTTTAGTATTAAACAATTTGTACCTTCAAATAATATTTTTCTAATTATATTTTTTTTGTTATTTTAAGATAATAATATTTGTATAACAATAATAATATCATCATCATTTTTACTTTTAAATACAGTTTTCCACGTAAATAAAACAAAAAATTAATTTTAATTTAATTATTTTTCTATTTTTCTCTTTCCTTTTTTTTTGCTTTTTACATGCATAAAATTGTAATTTATTATTATTGATTAAAATCATTTAATTAAAATCATTTAAATAACTACAAACTTTTTAAAATATTCAAATGTCTAAATTAATATTGATTTAATATTTTTATTTTCAGTCATTTATATTTTAAATAATATTTTCAATTTTATTTAACTTACATTGCTTATATATTCATCTTTATTTCACTTAATTCCTTATATTTGACTCTAATTTTTTTTAATTAATCTAATTTATAATTATTTGATGCATAACTATATTTTAATCTTTCACAATTTTAATTTATTTACTATTTCTTATTTATGTGACATAATATTTGTTGAAATATTATTACAAATTTAACAACTGCAGATTCTTATAATATAAATTTATTAATTAATGTTTTTCATTCTTATTATTTCAATTTTATTTTGTTATTCATAATTTTATATTTTATTAACCTTATAATAATAATCACACATAATTTTTCCTCATATATTTATTTAATTTAATTCTTTTATATTTCTTATTTAATTATTTTTTACATAAGTAACAAGAAAATTATATATTTTAATTTAACTATTTTTTTATTTTCTTATTTTTCTATTTTTCTATATTCCTATTTTCCTATTTTTTACATGCATAACAAAATCACTATAAATATAAATTTTTACTAACCTCCGTTTGCTAAGAATCTGGACCACTGAAAGTCCCTCTCACAGTAGCCTGGACCACCACCGATTGCAATATTCCTGGGACCAAAAACAGAAGCAAGAATAAATATTTTATATTTATATCTAATATACACTATAATGTTTTTTTCTTACCTTTCAAAGCTTTAAAAATATGCAAGCCCTGCTTCTCCACTCCACCTCCACCTCCACCTCCACCTCTGCGTTTTCAATTTGCAAAAATTTTTCACCGAAAAAGATGAATAACAGAACCAGAAGCACAAAGGAGACCAATCAGTGTGTGTCGGTCCTGAACAACCCGACACTGGTGTGAACCGCTCTTTAACATGACTTTTAAGAGCGGTTCGAATTGAACCGCTCTCAGTAGTCGGGTCTGGCACCTGTGTCGCCATTTTTTCAGCTGATACTTGGTCATGTGTCGCCAACATTTTTTACGACACTCACAAATCACCTTAGACAGGGAATTTTTCGTCAAACAACCCCATACGGATAAAATGTCTTTCATTTAACCCTACACAGGCAAAAAAACCCGCAGATTACTGTGAAAATGGACCATAACACGTGCCACAACAGTCGAGTCTTTTTATTTGGGTCAGGAACAGTAAACTAGAATCATGCTGGGACTATCTCATTTAAAGTTAATATTTTTTTTTAGGATTAGTTTTGTATTCTTAAGTTAAATGATTTGGTTTATTATTTAATTAAGATTAGGATTAATTGTTCTTCTATTTCCTAATTTTAACTTATGTATAATTTTAATTGCTCACATTTAATTTCATTAATTTTTTAAATATTTAAATTAAGTATTTTATTCTAAAATTCAGATTTTTATTATATTTTTATATGAATATTTGTATATTTTTTATTTATATAAATCAATAAAATGTAATATTTTCATTAATTTTTCTTAATTGTTGAATCAATTAATCTTAATCACACTTTAACAAATAAATTTGAACGCTTGGGTTCTATTCCTTCCGTATCACTCCCGTAAAACCTATTTAAGAGCCCGTTTGGTTAAGACTATTTTTATGAAAAAAGCGTTTTTTTAATAATTACCTTTTAGTTTAAGTTGTTTGGTTAAGATTATAAAAAAATTTAAAGCTGAGAATAATCTGATGTTAACTTTTTTAGAGAAGCTATTTTGAATAATTTCTTTAAAAAAAATGGTATTATAACTGCTCACTAACATAAAAATTACTTTTTATAATTATAACCAAATAAAATAACTTATAATTTTATAAAAATCTAAAAATATCACTTTTTATATATCTTAAAAATAACTGTTTTCAAAAGCTGAAACAAATTCGAAGAAATCTAAACTTGGTCTTGCTTATACAAACATCATGTGTATTTGATTTGATGAGAAATAAAAAAAAGTCACGTTAGTCTTGTTGGGATAAGAGAATAAATGATGAATTATAATTCCATTATTGTAACCGATCTCATCTAATATGATAAGATTTATGCTATTTCACTCACTAGCTTGAAGCTTTTCAATTGTGAACATTTATACTCAGCTTCAAAACCAAAATTTCCTTTCAGATTTTTTTTGTTGGGAAAGTTGTTCATAGTTTCATTAGTTTTCCTCTAAACTCTTGAACCAAATCTAGGTATGTGCATTTTCCGTTTCGCTTCTTGTCAAAGATTTTCCTCAGGAATTTTGGATATTCCTGACCTTTTAATGCTTCAGATTCAAATCTGTTTGTTTGTGCAGAGGTCTTAGATGCTCATATTCCTGATTCTGCAGAAGCTGTACAGTGTACTCCTTATATGTTTCTTAGTATAATGGTTATGATGGAGACAAAAAATGCTAGTCTTTGAACTTGGAAGAGTCTTGAACAGGATGTCTCTGAATTCTTCTCTGATTGAAGCAGTACCCTCACGGCACTGTTATCACCCCCAAATGGAACCATTGACTGAAGCTTTAACATTTATTGCTATCCTATGCATTTTCCTTTAGGTAATTGTCTCAATTATTTGTTCTTTAACAGTTTCTTCCTTTATTTGCTGCATGATACAATAGAAAAGAAAAATAAACAGTCCCTCTTTTTTCTTTTATTAATAAGTACAACTTGAGAGAAAGATTGATCATATGGTTTAGTATAAACTACAAAGGAAATCTAAACTTTTGCCTTAGAGTCACTTTGCAGAGGAAAAGCCATTTAAGTTTGCATGCCAAAATGTTTATGCATCCAATGAGTATAATAGTTAACAAATAAGCATGCAAGTGATATCAAGCATAAACAAGGAAACTTAACAAATAGTGAGACTTGAAAACTATTTGAACAAGTCTTTTAACAAAGATTTGAATAATCTCTCCTTTTAATTGTAAATATGATAATGTTACTTTTAGAGAAAAAGAAAATAAACAACTAACTTTTATACTCAAATGAATCTTTATACAAAAATCAAATATAATAATGTTACTTTCTTCTTTGATTTGGATCCAAGTTGATTCAACTTGTATTTAATCTCCCTGGCGTGTACCACAGGCGCTGGACCACGCTATATTTTCAGCACTTCACACAAGAAACTGTCGAGAGATTCCACTGCTGCCTCAGTAATAATTTACACTGTTTCTTGCTTTCAAGCAAGCAAGCAAGCCCCAAAGCCTGCAATACATAATTCATTTTCGGTCATGCCAAGAATGGCTCAGTTTCAAGATTAAAAAGTGGCCCATGAACCAAATTTGGTAGGCCTATAAAAAAGGTAGTTCATGCAAGCATGATTAAGCTCAGCTTGACAATTGAGTCATTGCACATATATGCAGCTAAATATGTGACCACTCTTGGACATGTAATAGTCTCAGGTACAGAAGTTGACATTTGACAATACAACCTACAAAGCCATGCCCAATCACTTTCAAATTTCAATATTCATAGTGAATAAATCAATCCTTCATAAAGAAATTCACTTGAAAGTGATATATGCACTGTCAACTCTTTCTTTTTTTGTTTTCTAATGTTCTATATCAACTAAATTGATACAGCCATGCCATACCATTTCATCCAAATTATGGGGACAAATTTGTTGCCGCAAACATACGACAAATGTTGGTTTTGTGCCTTTCAGGAATTGTGGACAAACAAAGTCTGCAATTATTATGGGCCATGACATTGTCATGTGATATTGGATGCTTTTGTTAAATTCAACTAAATTTAATTCTTTTACAATTTTTTTATATTCTTTTAAAACATAAATGGAAAAAATAAAAGTAAAATAAAGTTGGTTTCCTGTCCCTTGAGGCAAAAGCTTACCCACAATGAATGAAAGACAATCCCTTCAGGGCCTCCCTCATGGTTTATTTGGGAAAGAAAAGTGATACAGATGATAAATAATATAATGCGAGGAAAAGAGACTTGAGAGAGATAAAATATATTAAATTAGTGTTTATAAATAAAGATTGCATTTAGATACATGGTATAAATAATAATTTATTTACTAATTTTTTAAATAATAACTTGTGTTATAAATTTATTTAAAATAACAAAATAATTTGATAGGTTATATAAAAAAATATTAAAATAATTTGAAGATAACTTTTAGAAATCAAACTATTTTTATAAATTGTTCATGATTTATTTTAAATTTATTTGCATTTATATTTGCTTTATCAAGTGCATGATTGATTAGGATTATTTTAATAATTATTTAAAAAATCATTTCTAAAATTTAATAAAATAATTAAATTTTTTTTAAATAAGTTGAATAAATCCCACCCTGTGTTTAGTTTATGTCATATTATATAAATAATTGTTTATTTCGAAATTAAAATAAAAAAATGCTGTAAATTATTCCTAGCAAACATGGTATAAATTATATTCAAAGAGCTTCCACATAAAAAATATCTCTTAAGCTGCACAGGAAGGGCACAATCACCACCTTGATGGAAGCCACCCCTTCCTTCAAACAAGACACCTACTTGGTTTCCCACCTCAAGTCTTCAGAGAAGAAAGCACTGCAAGAGCTCAAGGAAAAGCTTCAAGCTTCTTCTGACACAAAAAGCCATGCTTTTTCCATGTGGGGTGTTCATTTACTTGGTGATGATGAGAGTGCTAATGTGTTACTATTGAAGTTCCTGAGAGCCAGGGACTTCAGGGTCAACGATGCTCTCAAAATGCTTCTCAAGTGCTTGTCTTGGAGGTCAAAGTTTGGTGCTGACAACGTTGTGGATGAAGACTTGGGATTCAAGGAGCTTGAAGGGGTAGTGGCTTACACTCATGGGTGTGATAGAGAGGGACACCCTGTGTGCTACGATGCTTATGGAGTGTTCAAAGACAAGGACATATATGAGAAAGTTTTTGGAAATGAAGAGAAGCTAAACAAGTTCTTGAGGTGGAGGGTTCAAGTTCTAGAGAGAAGCATTAAGCTTCTTCATTTCAAGCCTTGTGGGGTTAATTCTCTTATTCAGGTCACTGACCTAAAGGACATGCCCAAGAGAGAGCTTAGAGTTGCTTCCAATCACATTCTCTCTTTGTTTCAAGACAACTATCCTGAAATGGTGGCTCGTAAGGTAACTACTTGTTTGTTGTTTTTAGTTGCAAATGGGACATATGGTACCTTGTTATCAATGTAACGTCAACTAAACCTTTGGTGTGGTAGGAATTTCTTTCATTTCACTGTTTCTTTTTTCTTGTTTTCTTGCTTTCAGATTTTCATCAATGTGCCTTGGTACTTCAGCATGTTGTACTCAATGTTCAGTCCATTTCTGACCCAAAGGACTAAGAGCAAGTTTGTGATCTCTAAGGAAGGCAATGTTGCAGAGACACTGTACAAGTTAGTATAATGGGCCATTATTTTGTGTATATATATATATTTTTGTTTGCACTAATAATTACTAGAGAAAATTTTGATTTGGGTTATTCTTTGCTTCCTGTAATTTTTATGTATCAGAAGTATTTCTTTTTTGAAAAATGACTCTAACATAATGCCATTTAGCCCACAATATCTATTTCGAGTTTGTATTTTGAAAGTGGGGTTGTTGTCTTTTGTTCAGATTTATAAGGCCCGAGGCTATTCCTGTTGTGTATGGTGGACTGAGTCGACCCAGCGATTTGCAAAATGGTCCCCCAAAACCTGCTTCTGAGTTCACAGTTAAAGGGGGAGAGAAAGTGAACATACAAATAGAAGGAATTGAGGTAACAAAGTTTTTATTTTCTCCCTCCATTTATGTAAATTATAACGGTTTCTTTACTGGTTTTGGATTTCAAAGTTAAACCATGGACTAAGCCAAAAGTTGATGTTTTTGATATATGTGAAAAATATTAAAGATTTTGTTCTTAACAGTCGTATTATTTTTCTAAAAAATATTTTTTTATCTTTTCTAATCGCATAATTTTTTTCCATCTCTGTTTGTAAAAAAAAATTGTATTTATTATATGATAGTTTCTCTAGCTTCTTTAACATTACACCTAAAAGAAATTATACTGATAAAACTAAATATTACAATTTTCAACAAAAAAAGTAATATGTTAATTTCTTATTATATCTAATGTTACGCTAGTAAAAAAAATGGATTATACAAATATTATTTTTCTTTGGGTTGTTAATTACTTGTTATTGGGTGATTAGAGTGGTGCAACTATAACGTGGGACATTGTGGTGGGAGGGTGGGACTTGGAATACAGTGCTGAGTTTGTCCCAATTGCACAAGGAAGCTACATTATAGCAGTTGAGAAGGCAAGGAAGATTGAGGCCTCAGAAGAAGCAATCCATAACTCATTCACGTCAAAAGAAGCTGGCAAATTGGTACTATCTGTTGATAACTCTTCCTCAAGGAAGAAAAAAGTTGCTGCTTATTGCTATGTTGTCCGAAAAAGCATTGAAGTGCATTTAAGTCCCAAATAATTGTAGGAACTATATGATGTTTTGCTTAAGAAGTTAATTCTATGTCTAACCTTTTTGGTTAATTATTCTGAACTTGGTACTTTAAGCCAACTTAAAGGTACTAAGTATTGTATTAGTATAATGTTAGAGAGAGATAGTGTTGCAATTATAACACGTTCAACAAAAGAATATGATTAAACTTAAATTCAGTACATATCTCAATTGTTTATTTAATGATTAAAATTTAATTTTATTAAAATGATTCTTCTCAATTTAAAAATAAATGGATTCTTGATATATATATATAAAAAGTAGCAAGTGGTGTTTAGTAGCATGTGTATGAACTAGAAAGTGTTGAGAATCGTTGACATTACCAGCTCTGGATGGATGTAATTGATTGAAGAGGTGGTAACATGTTCAAAACATCCGTTCTCCTCTAATGGATTGATGGTGATGTCTGCATTCTTCTCTGGCTTGGTCAATGAATGTTCATCCTTTTTCTGTTTCCAACTTCCAATTAAAATTGAACCTATTCAATTAAAATTATAAATTGCAATTCACAAATAAATTAAATTCTAATTAACATAATTATATTATCATCTATTAAAATTTTGTCAATCAAAATATCAAATTTTGTTCTAAATAAAAGAGTATCGGTAACCTATGTTACAGAATAATAATTAAGAAATTAAAAAAATATTTTTTTTCTTATAAATTATATTAAGAATGCATTGAAAATTATAGCTAAAAATATATCAATATTTTTAACATGTCCAACAAAATTTATGTATACTAAATTATATTAAAAATTATAGAATTCCACAAACTTTAATATACAGATATCGTTGAAGGCTACTGATTTTAATAAAGACTTACTATTTTATTAAGCTCTTATCTAAGAAATTTATATCATAAATTAGAACAGAAAATTTATTATTATAAAACATATAGAAAATATTAAAATAAAATGAAAAAAATTTTACGAGGGTTGTGCACCTTGTAAACAGAAAACGTTATTTTTGTTTAAGCTTTTCTTTTTTGGATGAAGAGTGAAAGAGAGAAAAAATAAATAAAATAAAAATAGGGTAAAAGAATTTGATGTTTAGATAAGTTAAAGAAGAAAATGAAAAAAAAAAAAATCCTTCTGCATAAATGAACAAAAAATCATTATTTAACTGATATAATCATGTTACAGAAAAAATCATTATTTAGCTGATAAATTTTATGACTAATTATAATAAATATTTATTTAATGAAAATCGCAGTTTTCTTTAATTCACATATTTAATTAATAAATCATATCACTTAACTATTTATAGAGGATTCAAAATTTATACAAAAAAGTACTTAACTCAAAATTTAAATGGCTCCAATAAACTTTATGAGCTGCATTAAAACGGAGCCATGGTCGCCTCTCTCTGGAACTCGCAGTAAAGTGAAAGCAATAATTACGTTTCTCAAGAACAGAAGACTGAGTCATGACCGTGTAAGAATTTTATACATTGAAATTTTATATTATTTCTCCATGAACAGCAGAGGAAAGCTCCGTGCATGTTTGATGGGTTACGATTTTAAATTTTCCATCATATATAGTATAAAAAATGGTATAAAATACTGCTTCTGCTTAAATTTGATTACTGTATTGTACTGAATATTTCTATATTAAGAAGCGGTGGCAGCAGCTCCTTTCAGATTTGTACTATGAGAGCCAGCATTCTGCTTGAGCATGCCTTGTTCTATGATGCATTGAACCTACGTGCAAGTTAATAAACAACTTTGAAAATAAACCTAAGGCCTAGGAAAATTCAATCAACACTCTTGTGAATAGCATTTAATTCTGGTTAGATACTGTTTTTCGATGACTTGGGGGCCGTAATATAATCAGAAGTAGCCATGCATGATCCATGCATTTCGGATTTTCTTCCCGATTAATATTTTAGAAACTAACATTTTTTACTATATTTTGTAAAAAAAATATATTAATTTTACTCTTAAAATGATTAACAACAATAATAATGTATTAAAAATAATATTATACTTACTTTTAAATGTTTAAATTTAACCTTAAAATTTGATATTACTAGTAATAAAATTTTATTTTATATTATCTTTCTATGTTAAAACCTTGCATACGATTCTAGTTTTTGTTTAAGAGTACTAATCTAAGATTATTTTATATAAAAAATGGAATGATTTCAGTAGAGCATTCAGTGGTTTCTATATATGCAAGTAAACAATAAGATAATAAAGACCCGATTTTCTTTGGAAAATCATATTTTCCTCTGTGTGAGTTTCTTTATCACATATATATCCCGTGACTCGCTTATAACATGTTTAGATTACCTTGACAAAAGTGATTACATAAAGCGTTGATATGTTTTAAGCTTATACTCTCCAACTTAATTCTTGATAAAGATAACGAGCCATAGATCACTTTAATTTAAATTTATTTAATTTTTAAAAAGAAATCACACTTATACGCTCAAGGATTGCATTTGGATTTTGTTTTTTTCCTTCCTAATTAATGTATATTGTTTAGATTACTTATTATTGTCATAATTGGGTAAAACAGAATCACATTTTCTACAAAAGCATAAGAATGAAAAACAAGATAATATTTTAAATTATTAATACAGATTATAAAACTACGAATTAAAAGATACAAATAATTGTCATTGTTCGGTAACCCATGTGTCAGCAAAGAGAAGCAAAGAGAAATGAAGTAGGAAACGTGTAAGAGAGGTAGCCTAGTAATTCTAAGAGGGAACACGCAGCCTCATATGAGTGTGAACGTGTCACGCATGCAAATGGGTCACACATGTCACTGAGCTCCTATATGTTCGGTTACTTAGAAATGGTCTATGGTATAATAAGATGTCACAAGAAACAAACACCATCTTATTAGCAAACATTGAAAGATGGCACAACATATTAAGTTACATGAACCTAAGACACGGTCATTTACCCTTTTGAGTGGTCATTCCATACCTGCTGTTGGATTGGGCACATGGAAATCTGGTTCAGAAGCCACCAATTCTGTATTCACTGCCATTGTTGAGGTAATTATACTAGTTTCTTGTCCCTCATTCCAATTGCTTCATTTTATTTTTTGTTCATGTTAAGTTTATTTGTTTATGCCTTTCATAAAATATTGGGTGTTCACTTTTGGACCTGGAGTGAGATCAGAATTCAACGAAGAATTTTTAATCGTTATTAAATTAGAATCTATTGGTGTTATTTAAATTGACAAAGCTTATTCATCCCATGAAACAATTCATTCAGCTAAGTTTTATTGTTTGCTGAAATTAATCTATGGGTAATGTCTGAAAAATGATACACAAAAAACAATAATTTTTCTGACCTGTATCCAAAAGTTACAAGATACATATTAAAAAGAAATAATTATAAAGTTATTAATGTATTAAATTTTGTGGTATTTACTGTAGGCACACATTTAAAAAAAAACTATTAAATTTATGCAGAGAAGATGAAAAGAAGATAGTGGGAAATTATTTTGCAAATAAAGAAGAGTAAGTACATTAAATTTATTAAAATATAATTCTATTAAATTTTAGAACTACAAGATTAACTTGTCCAATAGATAAAATCTCCTTTCACATCGCCTTGAGGATCATGGCAAGAGTTTCTCACCAAGCTGAACCTAAATCAAGATTTTTTAGAGAGAGTAAAAAAAGAAAAAGAGAGTAAAAAAAGAAAAAGAAAACTCACCAAGCTGAACCTAAATCAAGATTATTTTTTTTCATTCTTGTGAAGCTGGTTCTTACATGATCTGACCTACGGTTGCAGGCTGGTTACAGGCACATAGACACTGCTTGGGAGTATGGAGTTCAAGAAGAAGTATGATTGTGTTTCTCATAATTAAGTTGTGTGTTAGGATTTTGAAAATACTATCTAAGCTACGACACATTCTTTATTAATTCAAACCACCTCTTTCCCATTCTTATATTCTGTCTACTTATTGTAGGTTGGACACGCACTCCAGGCTGCAATGCAAGCAGGAGTGGAAAGAAAGGATCTCTTTGTCACCTCCAAGCTATGGTAATGAACCAACCTATATTATATAAAATAGGTCCTATTAATACCAGTTTTGTGTGTTCGTGTGTGTGAAATTTTATTCCTTCTAGGTGCACTGACATGACCCCTGAAAGGGTTAGACCAGCCCTCAACAATACCCTTCAAGAACTCCAAATTGACTACCTTGATCTTTACTTGGTAATAATTTTCATCCATGATGCATGTGATTTGATATGTCAAAGAAGACACAGGGTTTTAAGGTATTAAATGCAGATTCACTGGCCATTTCGATTGAAAGATGGGGCTAGCAGACCTCCCAAAGCTGGAGATGTGTTAGAGTTTGACATGGAAGGGGTATGGAGAGAAATGGAGAAGCTTGTCAAGGAAAACCTTGTCAAAGACATTGGAATTTGCAATTTCACTCTTGCAAAGCTTGATAAGTTGCTGAGCATTGCTCAAATAATGCCTTCTGTCTGCCAGGTGGAATTTTATATCTTCATAGATTTTGGTTCAGTTCGGATGAGCTGAAACTTTTCAAACTTAACTACTAATACTTTTATAAGGCAAAAATTGAGTTCTTTCGATGTTGGTAGGCTTGTGTGAAGAATTTAGATGATGGATTTTATTAAAAAAATTAGGAGTATAATTTTGATTCATTTTATTTCATTTAAAAAACTTGTTTCTCCTTGAAGTATTTGCTATTTTGTTACAGATGGAGATGCATCCTGGGTGGAGAAATGATAAGATGCTAGAGGCTTGCAAGAAGAATGACATCCATGTTACGGTAACTAACACACTGCAATTTTGATATTTTCATTGCATTTTAAGACATTTGTGATTAAGGGTCATGATTAAAATGCCAAAATTGGTCTATAGGCTTACTCTCCACTAGGCTCATCAGATGGTGGGAGAGATCTAATCAATGATCACACAGTTGATAGGATAGCGAAGAAGCTGAACAAGAACCCAGGACAGGTATTGGTCAATTGGGCCATCCAGAGAGGGACGAGTGTCATCCCCAAATCAACCAACCCAGACAGGATCAAAGGAAATGTTTGTGTATTCAATTGGGAACTTCCAGAGCAAGACTTCAGAGCCCTTAGCAGCATACAAGATCAGGTAGTCACATATCATTGTGTATGCACATCATTGACTTAAACATTCTAGTGTTGTAGTTGTAGATAAATACTAAACAGCCAGAATTTTTATCTGAATATTTTGCCATTCTTTTTTACTATTGACTTGAGTGGTCATATAGTTGATTCCCCTTTAATTTACATAAAAAAGTTTAAGGGGGGGTCTATAAACTTAAAACAATCACTATTCTTGCATGGATTTCAATTTGCAAGGAAAAGTTGTCTTTTATATCTATTGAATTGTTATAATACAAGGATTAAAATCCTATATGCTGCTTGGTTCTTTTGGCTCCCTGAATTTATCATCACTTTCTTCATCTTGCCTTTTGTTAATGATACATTGTAGAGGAGAGTTCTGGATGGTGAAGACCTCTTTGTGAACAAGAGCGCTGGGCCAATCAGGAGTGTGGCAGATATTTGGGACCATGAAGATTAGACCACACTTCATAGCTACTTTGTTGCTCTTTTTTTACGGCACTACTTAGCATTAGATTAATGTACTTGTGGTTCTTAAAAATGGTTCAGATTGTGCACATTTGATGTCCAAGCACTCTATATATATATATATATATATATATATATATATGCAGATTTCTCGTTCATATATTGCTATAATTGCTTCGGTATTTAGAAAGACTAAACTAATTTTGAAATCAAGGACCTTATTTTGTCTATTACTGAAGTTAGAATAATCAATAACTTCTCATGTTTAACCAAATAACCCCTGTGATTAATTGGTGTCCGACGTTATTTATCAACGTCTAGCCGTCTTGCAATGTTTTGTGGTGCTTTTTAGCGTGAATTGAATTAACGTAGCTCAATTTTCAAAATAAATGAGGTCCCTCCATAGTTCTTTCTTGAACTCTGTTCCTTGGCCAAAATTTTGCTATACATTGAGCTATTATCAAATAACATTTAGCAGATAGCGTGTCCCGTTATACATGTTGGTACTATTTATTATTTAAAATTAGTTTTTTTTAATAAAAAGATTGTATTTAATGTTGTTACGATATATAAATAATTCTACATAAGTCATTCTTAAGTTTTTTTGTCCATTTAATTTTAGTTGACTTGGATTAATCAATCTCCAGTGGTATTTGAATATGGGTATTGGTACTCCTAAAAAAGCAGGACAATTTTGCATACATTCAAATCTAGACAAAGTTTTATCACAGGCAGCATTAGGAACCAAACCAAGATAATGTGAGAAGTCAGCGTTCACAATAAAGCATCAATCTATGAAACTGTTGAGACAAATCTAGCCATTGACGACAGTCATACTGGTGAATAATTAATCAACGGTGGCCCCTGCTATGAGAAGGTACCACCATTACATCTTCTAAGTTATTGTCTGTAGTCTTAATTACAATACATTTTAATTATTTTATGAGAATTGAAAAATATAATAAATTAAGTTAATGATACAAGGATACACAATATAAAATTAATAAATTGAATTTTTTTATTAAAAATTATAGTTAATGTAATCAATATATTAAATTTTATAATTTTTAATAAAAAATTATTATATATTATTATTGTGTCTTGCATTAAATAGAGATAATACACTAGTTTGGTATCCTTTGACTGAAATGAGGTTTTAAACATCACTTTTCATATAAACCTCATCATTAAATTCTTTCACTCTCATATTTAAGTGTAGACCCATATAATCCTACAAGATTCAACCCCTCTTTTTCCAACTAAATACAATTTGAGCACGTATTAACTTCTCAGAAGGCCCAGTGTTAATGGATTTGAACTCCCATTAAGGTACATATGATTGCCGTCTACTCATATTCCTAGCAAGGCGTGGAAGTTTTGATATAGAGTTGGCTCTAGCCAACCCTCCAAGGGCTTTCCATTCTTCATCTAATTCAACCCCAACCTTGCCATCCACAGTTTCAGTGTCTTCATTTCTAGTGGATTTATGCAGGTTCTTGCTACGATGTCTATTCTTTCTAGTGGATTGAGAATGTGATAAAAAAGGTTGTTCATCGAAAAACAAGCATATAACAGCACAATCATCAACCTTGGAACCAGGATACTTGTATCTCCACGCTCTAACAGCACGCTTTACTAACAACTTGGCTGCTAAGGACCTTCTTGGTGCTGAAGCAACTATGTTTATTACTTCAACATTGGTGAGCACATCCCATACCTGTAAAAAATAGAAATACTTATTTCAATGCTTTCATGATTGGATTAAATATTTGCATGGTGTTTGGAAACAAACATGTTAAAACCCTGTTGATCTAGCTAGTATTCGAATTGGGAAAAATATATGAATTGAGTAAAACTCAGAAAGATACAATACTGTTTGAATAATGTTTATTGCCTAAGAATTCTGGATTCAAGATCAAGTGTACGAAGGTAATAACATTCTAATGTTACTTACCCCATCAGTTGCCAAAACCACAAATTCATCTTGCTTGGTAATTTTTCTATAAAATACATCAGGAAGTGAGATTAGGCCATAATCTTTGAGGCAAAAATCTCCAAAGGCTCTTGACATGGCTAGTCCAGGGCAGTCATCATCAGGCATCCATATTCTGTATACGTCTGGTTCTTCTTCTGCTGCAAAAACTCTTCCTTCACAGTTAATGATTCTTGAAGCTTCGCCTGAGAGACATTGAAGAAAACAAATGGTTATACTTTAGACTTAATAGTCTTGTAATAAGACTTGGAAACTGTGGCCAAAACCAAGACCTACTTGGAATATCTGGTTTCAAGTCAACAGTGAGTTGAATAGGAATGAGTTCGTCTCCTTCCCTTGTGCAAAGAACTGCACGAGAATCACCCAAATTGCCAACTATGAGCTGGTCACCCTGAAATTTTAGGTGGAAAAGTGATGCATGTAGTTATTTCTATCATGTAAAAAGTGTGTGACTAGGAGGTAATGCTATTGTGAACACTTAGTTATACCTGTTTAATTAAAGTAACAGCAGTGCAACCACTACAATAGCTGTCAGTGTTAATTTCTTGAGCAAGGTACTCATCAATCTCATCAAAGGATTTCAGAAAGCATCCCTCCCATGAAGCAAGGGACATGTTGTGGCCATTCTCAGGGTAGACATCATCAAAACTGGCAGTATCTGCATCATTAGCATCATAATATTTGCAGACCTTCTGCTGTGACATTTTGATTGCTTCAGACAGTTTTGAGGGTAGATTGTCACGAATAAATTGTGAAACTTTGTGGCCTAGAGGACCATGACCATCGAACACACCACAAAAGATCATATCTTTTTCTCCAGTATAGTCCTAATAATGTAGCATATCCAACATTAATATCAGCCATATGTTTCATCAATTAAAAAGTAATAAAGACCATAGGATAGAGAGAGAGAATTACTCAATTCTATTATTACTAGGGCCATAAAGCCAAAGAAAAATATCAAGCATAGATATGGCCATCAAAGAAGAATCTTGCTAGCAATTCCCTTGACCCAAGGTAAGAACAAATCTACTTCAAAGGTGCACACAGGATGCTTTTTAACCTTTTATGATAATTACTTACCCTGCTTCCTTTCTACATTTGCAAAAGTGTACAAATTAAAGAATAATGCTATGATGGACAAAGTGCAGACAAGGATATAATTTATGCAGGCTTCAAATCCATAACTGGCTAGTTGAAATGAATCATGATGTTTTTACATTCAATAACCTAAAAAATAAGAGACACATAACATGGGTAATAAAGTCATGCTGACAAGACAATTAAGGCAGAGACAACCAAATAAATATCATGAAAATTCAAAGAAAACAAAGAGGGGAAAAAGTGAACAAACCAACTCATAATTGTAAGAATAGGGAATCACACATACAATAAACTACGTTCTAATGAGAATCTTAGCTTTCAAATTCACCAAAAGTTGATGATTCATGAAATGAAAAACCCGTGGCCAAAGAAAACAGCAAATTCCACGCCACAAGAAAGGATTGTAAACTTGAAAAAATCAATCAAAAAGTTTTGTCAAAAAACCATCACATGTAATGAAAATAAATTGCGGAAAATCAAAATATGTAAATAAATACATGAAGAATCGGTACCTCCCAAACTGTCATTGAATCTTGGTTCACACCTTTTTTTCCCTGTTGGGTATACATTGACACAAACCTAGAGGATCCTCTTAACCTGACCCATGCTCCACAATGTTCATAGGACACATCATTGTCATTGTCATGATCATACTCATATTCTCCATCATCTACCTCACTATCCACCTTCCCTCGAACTGAAACATCGTGACTACAACACCCTCCCATGTCTGCCTCGCAACAACAATTTCCAACGAAGAAAACAAGGGCACCCCACGAAATTCCAGGGAGTACCCAGAAGATATTCTGGAGAAAACAAGCCAGAAACTTAAGAAAAATGGAATTTTTCTTGAGGAAGCAATGAGGGGTCAGAATTCAGAGTGATGCAGAGGCTTATGAAGGTAACGGAAAAATTCATAGAGGGAAGGTGGAAAGGACCAAAAATGCATGGAAGGGGTAGGAACAAACACGAATAGAAGAATGATTGGGAAGAGAGGTTGTCATGTTCTCATAAAGGTTGAAACTGCACATAATTGTCTGTACCTTAGGTGGTTTCGTTTGTTGTCTGTTATTTTCCCGGTTAGCAAAAGTCAAAGTCTAAATTGAAAAAAGACAAGAAGAAAAATTAACTTTTTTACTTCGATATCTTTAATTAAATTAAACAATTTTTTAGTGAATAATTAAATTACAGGATTAATAAAATTAATTAAAATTGTATTACTTAAAAATATTATTACATATTGCTTTCAATATTTTTTATTAAAATCTTTCAATTAAATCACGTATATTAAAAAATATTGAAGTTAAATAATGTATTATTTTTAAAAAAAATAATTATAACATTTCAAGTTTATCTTCTGATTAAACTTAAAATTCTATTATTATATTAATTATTAAAAAATTCAAAAGATTCATCAATGAAGGTCATATATTTTAAAATATATATATATATATATATATATATATATATATATCTAAAATTTTGTTATAAAAACTATATTAATAACCAATAAAATTATTTAAAAAGTTCTTATAAAAAGAAATGGAGACAGTAATAATTTTAACCTTATTTAATATAATGAAATTTAATAGTACTAGCGATGTTTATTCTTGTTAATCTTAATTTAAGTCGCCCATTAACTTTATTTATTAGTAAAAAAATAAGAATAATAATAAATATTTCATAAAAGCTGTAAAAATTTTAATATATGTCTAAAGGCATATAATAAAATAAATAATAGTTAATTTTTGTAAAATTATAACATGTAATGTTATCAATATATTAAATTGTTTGACATCTAATAATTTTTAATAAAAATTTAATATACATAAGTTTTTATCGTATGTTATTTGATAACTTTACTATGCATACCTTAGAAAAAATAATTATAAACACTACTTCTAATCCTATTTTTAAAAACACTAAAATTAGTATTTTTTTTATCTTAATTATAAAAATATATTTTTAAATACATTAATTTATGTTAAATTTATCTTATGCTATTAATTCAATCATTTAATACTTTTTAATATATTTAAAATATGATATAAATTTATTAAAAATAATTATATTTTATTCACTTTGATAAATTGTTTATTTATATTTTATAAATATGAAAAAAAAATAGTATCTTACATAAGGATCACTAAGACTATTTAAGAAGTATCTTATTAAAAGAACAGGGAAAGTAAAATTTAAGGATATATATATATATATATATATATATATATATATAGGGAAAAAATCTTCTTCTACTAATATAAATTTAAAAATTCTTACATCCAATTTGAGCCTTTTATTTAACTTAAATCTAATAGTCAGTGAATTAATAAATTATAACCCGTTAGATTTAAGTTAAATGAAAGACTTAGATTGAGTGTAAGAGTTTTTAGACTTTTACTGGTGTAAGAAGATTCTGCCATAAGGATGACAATGGGTAGAGTATGGATAGGGTACTACAGTACCCATCTCATACCTGTGTTTTAAGAAAATGTCCATACCCCCTCTGAGTATCCGCATACTCATCTTAGTAGTCATGCATACATATCTCTTTCTAGTTTTTGAGAATTTTGTGTTTTTGTAGAAGGAAAAAATGAGTATTGCCATTGTTTATTTCAATGGTGAAATTATACTAAATACAAGTGAAGGTGTGATTTTTACATGTGATTTAAAGTATATTCCATACACTGTATCATTTAAAGATTTAAAGAAAATGTTATGTATCGATGTCCAACATACATACCCATCTTGGTAGTCTTGCATACATACCTCATCATTAAAATAATAACACTTATATTTTGATTTCAAACTTGTTCTTAAATATGCTTCTTTGATTCAATAGTTGAATCCTTAACCATTTCTTTTTTCAAATTCTAACTTATGAATATCAAAATTTTTTAAAATTTTTTCTTTTTTCTGAAAATACTCTCTCTCTCTCCCATCCTACTTCTTCTTCCTCTTCAGGATGCTTCTTTTTCACTTCAAAAATACCCTCTCACACATGTAACAAGAATTGGACCTAATATATATAGGAAAAAAATGCATAGGAATTTTGGATTCCTCTTCGCAATAGTTGCTTCGTGTGCTTAAACAGTGTTCAAAACTTGCAAATTGCGAGTTTACAGGTTTTAGACCTGCTTCTGCCACTTCCTGCATGCATGCCAAGAGGTCAAAACTCGCAAGTCACCAGTTTGCATTGATGCAAAGCTCCAAATGACGCGACATCACCTGCAATGGCTAGACAATTTGACCCATTTTTGACCAATTCCATGTACTACAATGACTTAAAAAATGACAAATGGCATTTTTATAAAAGCAACTGTCACATTCTTTGGCATTATGACCCGTTGCCATTATACTCTTCACATTAAATTATCATTTGCGTTATTTAGAAAGTCATATTGTGGTAAATATACAAAATAGGTTATATTTCTGTATTTTATTTTACTTAATCCCATATTAAAATAACTTTTCCTCTAAACGAAGTATTCATAAGAAAAAAAATAAAGAAACACAAAATTTAAACATGACTTGTAATAAAATATTTTATTTTCAAAACCCTTAAATCCAAATTTTTGGCTGAGTAAAAAATAAAAATGCAAAATATAGTTCAATAATCTTTACATCTTAAAAAAAATCATTTTTAACTACTAAGTATAGATAAAAAATTGTTAAAAATTATTAAATTTTTTATATAAAATTTTTTATTTAACACTTTATATTTATTTTCTTAATCCTCAACCAACTTTAATCAAGATTTGTTACTTTATCTTATTTGAATAGCCTCCTCTTATAAGGCATGTTAATAATACTCTCTAACACAGTCTTTACTATTGATTAAATTTTATAAAAAAATATGAAAAAATTAATTTAAAAGTAAAAAAATGAGACTAACATAATTTTTATAATTTTTAATGAATTTTAATAAAGATGTGTTATAGAGAAGTTTATTCGTAAACATTACTCAAACATTAAATTTAGCAATAAATATCATGAGTAATATAATGCGATACTAAAATAGGTAGACATAAACATTAATGAAATGCAGGTAGACGCTAACTTCTCAGATAAGAAGTGTTCAATTTGATCCATGAATGTGTTAAAAGACATCATGTCCTGTATGAGCTGCATTTTGATATTCTGATTGAGATATTTTGAAACAAGAAAGTCAACGTGGACTTGTTTATGTGGATGAATTCAAAAAGTCATAATTGAGCAAAGGTTTGTCACAGTGTGTCCTTGTGTATGGATAAAAGATTTAAAAAAAAAAAAACATTTCGTAGAAGGAATTGATTACATTTAAATATCCATACAATTATTTTATATATATACAAAGGCCTGTTTAGATAAATTTAGCCTAAGTGACAATGTTTAAATTCAAACCTTTTACATAATTTCAAGAAAAGGAATGTTTTTACCTAGATGATGTATTTTTTTTAATCCAATGCAATCCATGTTCTTAAACCAAAACTCAAATTCAACTCAAGGATTATAAAAAGTGTATATTTAATTTAGTTTATTTTAAAAATTATTATTTTCTTGACAATTTAAAAAATCAATTAACTTTGTAAGAAAAGGTGTTTTTAAACATGTTTTTAGATGAGAAATGCTTTGTTGCACAAATAATAGATGAAAACAGTTTACAAAACAATCTATTGTAAGTTCTGATAAAGACTTTATTTTATTTTTTATTTCAATATCGGTGGAATGAAAAAATATACATAAATTCGTATAATCATCTTTTCTGTTATTTATCAGTTCTCTTTTTAAATATAATTTGTGTAGAATCGATTTTTACAAATTGTGATGTATTATTTTCTAAATTTGTTTTGTCAAAATATTTAATTTCTAAATGTGAAAATATTTTTTTTATTAAAATGTCACTTTAATGCTATGTTAATTTTTTATATATATATATTTTGGTGTTTTATGTTGAATAAGAATAAAGTAAACTATTAAATTAGCCTCTTAAGTGATAGTTACAATGTGTATTAGTTTTTTACTTATTTAAATTGCTCAATTAATCTCTTATATATCAATTAATCATGTAATTAAGTTCATTTAAAAAGTTAAATTTTGCAATTAAGTGACATAGATGCTAAAACAATTGTTTTTTATATCTTCTTCACACCTTTTTTTTCTTTCCAAGTTATGCTATAGTGGTTTGTGACCTAAAATCATCACTACCTTTCTTTTTTTCTCAAAATTACACCATTTATAATAGTATGCGTTTTTAAAGCGTTTACTACTTTTTTCTTTCTCTTCTTCTTTTCTTGGAGCCACACTATTTACAATGACTTGTGATTGTATCCCAAAGCTGCTATCATCTCTCTCTCTCCCCCTTTCCCTAGAGTCACACCATTTGCAATGGTCTACATCTCTAAAGCTCCTACCACCTCTTTCACTTTTTTATCTCTTCTTAAATTCACTATTATAACCCAATAATCAACTCCAACACCGCTACATTTTCATAGACCTACAAAAATGTTGTCAACATTATTGGAGTTTAAGGTGTCAGATTATTCTAACAATTTAACAAATGGTTCGTGTAATTTATAGCCTAATGGTCTATGCAATTTATGGCCTAACTCTAATTATAAATTTTAATGTGATAATTGTTAATTATTAAAGATAGAGTAAGTAGAGCATAATTATAAATTCAAATAAAATGAAACTTTTTCTCACCCTTTGGATAGGTAAAAAAGTTGTTACCAAAATAAGGATTGACTTATGATAATAAG